AAACCAAACCACTTTAATTTCTAAACCAAACCAATCCAAATCATTTTTTTTTATTTTGTTCGATTTAAAACCACAGTTTAACAATAAAAAAAATTTATATCAAATAAGTTAAATCGTAAATATTAGTCTAAAATTTCATGTTAAAACATAAGTTTTATTATTAAAAAAAATTACAAATCAAAATTATATAATTATAATCATTATAATGCAACAACATGATATAAAATATTTTAAACTCTTAATCAATACTAATGGAATCCATTTACAATTGTAATACACAATTCATTCTCTTAATAAATATAAAAATATAGTACATGAATTCATTGATTATAGTTAAATGATATAAAATAATTAATAAAAGAAAATGAATAAAAGAATAAAATACAATAATACCTAGCTACTGTGACTTTTTGTGAATCATTCAATACTTCTACTCCATCCAAATATTAGCGAATTACTTTAAGGAAACCCGATAATTATTAGAATAAAATAACATAACTACCAATAAAAACATAGAAAAAAATTATCAAAAAATAAAAGAATTTAGATAATTTGACTTGAATTTAAGCAAAATTTAAGAAAATTATTAGTAGAAGGAAATGAAATGTGCAAGTTTGAATTAAAATATGGATTTAATTGTCTGCTCAATTATAATGGAGAATCGATGAATATGGTTTAGCAGCAACTGTTCAACACTTTACTCAATTTAATGATTTTATATTTATAATTCTGTTGATTAATGGGTATTTGGATATAATTTAATTAATTAATTGAAATGTAAAATTGTCGAATTAAGTTCGATTGAATTATGTCTACTGTGGATGCATCTTTTTAACTGAAATGTGTTAAATTTTAATTGAGTCAAATAAAATTTAGACTAATTTATTTTTAATTTTTCTGGTAAACCGTTTGATGGTTTGAAAATGATTTGCAAATATTGAAATATAAACCAAACCACTTTGAAGCGGTTTGGTTTGGTTCAAAATCTAAACGTTGACGGATCCACGTGGAACGAAATCAACGGTTTCAGAAAAACGATTTTGGTTCGATTTTGCGGTTTGGCGATTTCGTTGTTCAACCCTACATGGTGGTTTTTACTTAATCGTAACCATTTTATTTTATTTTATTTTTCAAAAAAAAGGTCTTTTGTTGACAAAAATAGAAAAAAAAAATTATGTTATTATAGTTAAAGTATATTTGAGAAGTGTTTATAATAAAACGGAAATGAGTTTTGGAGAAGTGGATGGTACTTATAAATTCTACAATATGTGTTTATAAAAAATGGTTTGATAAATTAAAAAATGTTTGTAATTTAAAGTATTTATAATACCTCCCTAACAGAGGCTTAGTTAAACGAGTAAATTCTACATAGCACAAGTTGTGCTTAGCACCAATTGATAATGAAAGCTAATAATATTTCTTAAAGTCAATTGTGCAATTTCTCTTTGAATTTTGTCACAGTTTCACTCAAATGTATGATGCAATAACATAGAGGTCGATTTGTCAAAATATTCACTAAGAGTCTTGTTCTTGTCGGAGCCTATATCATGTTTATGCAAATGTTAAAGACGTACAAATTCCTTTGATTATGTAGACCTCGATGATCAAGACATCCTTTGTCCATTCCATGATGCGTGAGCATGAAATGTGACCCTTTTGTGGCGCTCGTGACTTTCGGGAACCATAATAATTTTTGCATATAACAAATTCATGAAATAATTTATAGAAATGATTGACGTGTTTCATGTGTCAATAATAAATGAACAGTAATTATAAATGTGTTATTAAAATTTTTATTTAATTTTGACTGAATTTGTAAACTGGTTGACAAAATAAGTTTAATTCTTTTTTTAAAATACTAGAAAGCATCAAATGGAGTCGTTTGATTTGAATAAAAAAAAAAAAGGTTGAACTCCAACTTTAGGGGCCCCCATCGATCCTGCCCTGGGCCATCGTGGAGGAGGTAAATCGCAGGATGTGCCTCCCAGGAGCCAGGGTGGAGAGCATATGAATAGGCCAAGGCTGTTAACCCATATGGTAACTCTCGCTTGCAACAAAACCAATTCCACCTTGCGGAAAATCGAACTCTGTACACTGCCGTGCTGAACCTTATCCGTCCTCCCCTTTGCCACTGAGAGATATGCCCTGAGAGCCGTTTGATTTGAATAATTTATTCGTTGGGAGGATTACTGATCTATCTTGTTCTCGTCTGTGTACCCGGGGAATCAAATCACGAGGAACTATCGACAGGTGTCATCCATCGTCCTGGTTCGTAGAATAGAGCCAATGAATGGCACTGCACAGTAGCATTTCTCTATTACCCTCTCATCAATTACTCACCAAATATTTGTATAAAACGGTCGAAAGCTGTGGGTCCCGCAGGCAGCAGGGGTCCACGTGGTATAAGATAGACTGAAGAAACATCGCAAGTGGTCAGCACATGCATTTATGTCATCTTTGGTTAAAAGTGAATTAAAACATTCGGAGCTTATTTGGTACCGTTTAAAAGATAATTAAAATCAATTTTTTAATTGTTATTTCATTATTTTAACAGTTATTTTTCAATTTTTTCTCACAGATAGAATCAACTTTATCTCTAACGGTCAAAAATCAATTATCAAAATTCCTACCAAACAAACACTCAATTTTTAATTATATTTTGATAAAAGTTAATAGGACATGTGACTAAAAAATGATAATCCAAATGGTCGCTAAACTTTACAAAAGGTTTTTACGGGGTTATTGAATTTTAAAATCACTTAAGTTATCACTAAACTTTACAAAAAGTTTCCATGGAGCCACTGAACTTTAAAAATCACATCATTCATCACTAAACTTTGCAATAGATTTCCAAAGCTCACTAATTCAATAATCTCATAGAAAACATTTTGCAAATTTTAGTGATTCCGTGGAAATTAAACGCTGCAATAGGTTTCCAGGGGTCACTAATTCAGTGGTCTCCTAGAAAACCTTTTATAAAGTTTAGTGATTTCGTGGAAACTTTTTTCAAGGATCAATGATAAATGAGGTGATTTTTAAAGTTCAGTGACCTCATAAATTTTTTTTACAAAGTTTAGTGATGACTTAGATAATTTTTAAAATTCAGTGACCCTTTAAAAATTTTTTGCAAAATTCAGTGATTATTTGGATTATTATCTTTATGACTTACGGTTAACATTTAATTATTAATTTCAACTTAAATTTTATATTAACATTTTAACTAAATCAAAACAAGCAATTAAATTCTTATTGATAGAGATCAATATTTAAATTTTCAACGTAAAAAATTATTGTTCGAGTTGTTAAATGAAAAATTGAGATCGTTGAAATTAATTCTTCCACTCGATGACATGAAAAAAGAGGGGTGAACTCTCCCCATTTTCCTCTTATGTGAGTAATAATTTTGGGAAAAATATAGATAACGCAATGTAAAGAGAGATCCTTCATTAGTCCTTTGTAAATACTAAGTGACAAAAGTTGTTAGGGAAGTTGAAAATGTAGCTGTATAACGTTCAAATGTCACGATGTTTATACAAAGAGCTAATCAATCTTATCATCAGTGTATTAAAATGAGGGGCATATCGTACGAGTGGATCCACATTGATTAGTATATAACGGGCATAGATCGCATGGATCAACTGCTACAACAAGAGTCACCTCTTAGTCTCGTACAACACTCAAGAATTTTTTGTCATGGGTAAGACATTGGCTCCTCGATTGCTTTATTTAGGTCACTTACCTTGATCGCAATAATCCATGAATCAAGTACATTGTATGCGAAGCATGACATTTGGTGAACAATGCTTGGTTTGAAAACTATATCATTACCAATTTAGCTATATAATGGATAAATAATATTATTTAGCCTTATTGGGATTACAAACCCAGTTTAGGTGACGTTAATGTGACATTAAATGATAGATAAAATTAAATAAGTCATTTAATTTCACATTTCATTAGGCCTATCATCTAACGCCACATAAATTTAGGTTGTAACCCCAATGAGGCTACATAACATTATTTAAGAATAATGTTATCTAATGTGAATATAAATAATAGAAACTCTTAAATATAGAGACAGTCTATTTGAACCCCATTTTTGTGTAGAATCCATTTTGAAATAATATATTGATGAAGATCGCGCGATAAAAAAAATAATGAAATTTTTTGAATTGCATGTAATATTATTTTGTTGAAAATTGTGTAGTTGAAAAAGGGAAAAGTTTATTTTAAAAATAATAGGGATCAAACAAGTGTCGAAGATATTAAAATCACGTAAACGTTACATCCTTGTTTGACAATCATTACTCCAAAATTCCCTTTTCTTTTTAAATCCATTTTCAATTACATATTCTTACAATAAAATATTCTATACATAAATTTAACCTTTTATATTTTTTTAATCACAAATTCTCCATAAAATCACAATTTTAAAATTCATTTTTCTCAAGAAACTTATTCTAATGGTTATCAAATAGGGACTACTATTTTATCTAGAAAGAAGAAAAACTTTTAGAACAGAAGTTTAAGCCTGGGAATTTTGTCACAGAGAAGGCCTACAAGTCGCTACTATAATTTTACAGCAATTCTTTTTTTTTTTTTTTAACGAGGTGTCCCAGCTTGCGCCAGACTATATATCCTCGTCCCTGAACCTCCGGCCCCTCAACTGCTCAGGGAAGTAAATCGCAGGATGTGCCCTTGTTGGTTTCCAGGTTCCCACATGGCTTTTACTCCTTCCCCAAAGGAAGCCTCCTCCATGGTGATTAATCCACCAATAATTCCTCCTTTATTGGATCAAGGTTCCCACTAGGAATCGAACTCCCCAACAATTCTCTTTATATAGAGAAATTGCTGCCAGAAAAAATAAATAAATAAATAAAATAAAAATGAAATTGCTGCCAGAATCTGTCTGGTCTACATTTTTTTTTTCTTTTGCCATTTTCCATTTGAAAGCGTTATTTGTTGAAAATTTGGCAGCTCTTTTCTGTACACATAGTGCAGTTTTGATTATTTTATCGAGAAAGAAGAAAGAACTTTGATGACAAAAGTTTACGCCTGTGAAATTTGTAAGCACTGATATATAAGTAGTCCCCACCAGAACCTCGATCCCCACAACGCTCATTCCTTCTACTTCCCCACTTTCACTCTCCACTCACAATCCTGTTCTACACAAAACGAAGGTTGGCACTGTGGGGGCAGAATGAAGATTCAGGGCATGGAACTTCTCAAGATTTCTCTGCTTGTTCCAATCCTTTGCATTCTCTCTTTTGCAGGCATTTTTCTTTTCTTTTCTTTTCCTCGTGTTAGGGAATCTATGCTGCCATTTAAAATTTGCATGGAAAATTATTCATTTTCTGAAATCTTTGGTGCGTTTTGCAGATGGGGGCTCGATCGGGGTGAACTACGGTAGAGTAGCGAACAATTTGCCGTCAGCTGCGAAGGTAGTCGAGCTCATGAAGTCTCAGGGCATCGACCGGGTGAAGATGTACGACACAGATCCGGCCGTGCTTAAGGCCTTGTCCGGATCAGCCATTAAAGTTGTTGTCAATCTCCCAAATGAGCAACTCGCCAATGCCGCCAAACGCCCTTCATTTGCCAATGCTTGGGTTTTTCGCAGTGTTGTGGCCTACTACCCTTCCACCGCCATTGAAGCTATAGCCATTGGCAATGAAGTGTTCGTTGACACCCACAATACAACTCGGTTCCTCATTCCCGCCATGAAGAATATACATCAAGCTTTGGTTAAGTACAAACTCGACGACACCGTTAAAGTGTCTTCTCCGGTGGCTCTCAGTGCATTGCAGAATTCTTATCCTTCTTCAGCCGGGTCATTCCGGTCCGATTTGATTGAACCGGTGTTTAAGCCCATGCTTGAATTCCTCAGACAAACCGGGTCATCTCTAATGGTGAATATCTACCCATTCTTTGCCTACGAGTCAAATGCGGGTGTAATTTCTTTGGATTACGCACTTTTCCGGGAGAATCCTGGCGTGGTTGACGCCGGGAATGGTCTGCGTTACTTCTCCCTCTTTGATGCCCAAATCGACGCCGTTTTTGCTGCAATGTCAGCTTTGAAATACAACGACGTCAAAATCACGGTAACAGAAACCGGCTGGCCTTCTAAAGGAGACTCAAATGAAGCCGGAGCAAGTATTGAAAATGCCGCCGGGTACAACGGAAACTTGGTACGGCGAATACTCACCGGTGGCGGGACCCCTCTCCGGCCGCACGAAGATCTCACCGTCTACCTCTTTGCTCTATTCAACGAGAACGAGAAATTCGGACCCACATCGGAACGAAACTTCGGCCTTTTTTACCCCAACGAGAAGAAGGTTTACAACATTCCGTTCACGGCGGAGGGTCTTAAGAGTTACAGAGACAGTTCGCCGAAGCGTTCGCCGGCGACCGGAGGCAAACAGAGAGTGTCACCCGGATCCTCGAATGGGCAAACGTGGTGTGTGGCTAGTGCACAGGCGGGGAAGGATAAGCTACAAGCGGCTCTAGATTATGCGTGTGGGGAAGGAGGTGCTGATTGCCATCCGATCCAACCAGGGTCCACGTGTTTCGATCCTAACACTCTTCAGGCGCACGCTTCGTTTGCTTTCAATAGTTATTACCAGAAGAAGGGACGTATCATTGGCACTTGCTATTTTGGTGGGGCCGCCTACATCGTTTCTCAACAGCCCAGTAAGTCTTATTTGGTGCATTTAATTACATTTATTAATAAGTAAATATTATAAAATTAAATAATTATTTATTTTTTAAAATATGGAATTAATGGGTAAATGACAAACTTAGGGAACAGAAATGTCACTTTTTAGTTACCCTTGTGGGGAATCTTGGGCGAGGATTATGGGGGTCCATGAATCAAAAAACATATATGTTTGGCAGAGATAAACTGTGTGGCGCATGATAGGAGTCGTAGGGATGAGTTGCTAACATGTGCGCAAAGAAGACTGAATGGGGTCCACAACAACATGCGGTAAATGGACGCCATGGAAAACTTTTCTGACATTTAACTGTGGGGCCCGGGTCTTGGACTTTAGCCTTTTTCTCTTTATATTTTTAAACGTTAATTGATCAAAGTAAACCCTAATTTAGCTAATGTGAAGCACTCAGGTAGATCTGCGGAGTCAGCACTTACGGCCGTTCGTACTGACTCCGTCGTTTTTTTTTACAATCATTCTACAAATACATCATTTTTTACATTTTTTTTCACAGCACACACACTTACAAGTGGATCGTAGACCCCACCTTTGTGAGGAAGCGTGAAAATTGATTTAAAAAAAAGTATTGTACAAACAACATTTTTGTTTTTTAAAATGAAGTAGTGTGACCTTAAACTAATAATTTTTAATACATCTTGTTAGCGTGGTGTGAAGGTGATAAGGGACAATAGATCTCGACTCCATATTTTAAATAGAAATTCGTTTAAGCGTGATTTAAATAGAAATTATTATTTTATGTTGTAAAATTTGGAGTTATTTTTAGACATTGTGGTCCATTTATTCTTATGCCCAAAGGGCCAAAAGGCAAAAAGTATGTACCTTTTCAATTTATGTTTGTTGATATATGGTAAAAAAGCTATGGAAATTTATGTAAAAGATAATGAGGGCATAGAGATGCTGAAGATGCTATCCTTTTTGACTGTCTTCGTCTTTGTAGAGTACGGGAAATGCGAATTCCCCACAGGATACTGAAGAAAAGGAAGGCAGGCTACAGGAGATGGTGGACCGGACCGGACCGGACCGGGCAGGGCAGATCTATGGGCTGATTTTCGTTGTGTAAATTTATTTATTATAATAATGATGATCCGTAGCAGTTGCAATAGGTTAGCTAGCAGATAACTGGACTTGCTTTCTTTCTAATTAACATATTATATTATTAGTATATCCTTGTCTATGTGGGAATCTGCATTAGTATTAGCGTTTTAATGATGAAAATTATCTCTTGTTTATGGAGCAATTATATAAAGTAAAGCGACGCTAGTACTCTATGTGCGGTCATAAAGTTAAAGAATGAAAAAATATCCTGCACTATTAGTTTAGGTCATTTGAATATGATTTTTGAGAAATTAAAACGAGCTTTTAAGGTTCAGAAGTAGTTTTTGAATTCGTTTTACTATTTTTATGATTTCTTATTTTTAGAAGAGCTTTTAGAGTAAAAAGTTATTTAGGGGCCGTTTGAGTCCCATTATCTGTAGATTATAGTGAGATGAGTAGTGTTTTTTTAAAAAATGAGTGATTGAAAAGTTTTTGATTTACGCGTAATATTATTTTATTGAATATTGTGTGGTTAAAAATAGGGGAGAGAGAAAAAAAAAAATTTAATTTCATGTGATGAGAATAATGGGGCTCAAACGGGGCTTAATAAGACTTTCTTTAAAATTACTTCCAAAATAATAAGTTATTTAAAAATTAATCTTTCTAAAAGTAAAAGTAAAAATTACGTCAAATACATTCTTAGTTAAGATGGGTTTGTAATTGGTGCCCTGCAAAACCGGCTTTGAGTTGTTTCATATTTATTTTAATTTTTAAGTTTTAAACTTTAAATCTTATTAAAAATAATTAATTGATTAAATGAGGTGATAAATAGGATGTTTAAATTCTAGATTGTCTCAAAAGTAGATAGATGGTGGGACTTGATTTGGGTTAAACTGTTCCTTAGCCTCGGTTTGGCCCCCAATTTATTTTTAACCTCATACAGGACTGGTAATTTTACAATTATATATTAGATAATTAGCATATAATGTCATTACCTTTTAAACCTATAGTGCAGAACGTCTTTATCTCTCTCTCTCTCTCTCTCTCTCTCTCTCTCTCTCTCTTTTTTTTTTTTTTTTTTTTTTTTTTTGGCACAAAATGTCATTTTTCTTCATTTTCATCAAAATTCTCCATTAAGTGAAGGGTATTTTCATGTTATAACATTTTTCCCTTTGAAATATAATCTTGTGTTCCTTGGCAACTTGAGTACAACAGCCACATCAAGCTCATTTTGAAATTGTCTCCTTCCTACTTCCATCGTTTTTCTAGTTTTTGTTGGGTTTTGTTTATTGTTGAAGGGATAAGGAAGAAGTTGGAACGTTTTGTTGACTTGATTTGAGACATTTATGGAGTTTTCGTTTTCTGAAATTTACAAATAAGACGTTACAACAGAGCGGAGCCAAAATAAAGACAAGTTGATGGAGAGTCCTTGGTGGTAATGGACAAAACAAGTGGTGGAGGCTATAGTTATGATTCTAGGACTCGTCTGATCATATGAAAAATGAAAAAACTAGATAGGTTCTAGGATAATAAAGCCCTCGAAATTATAATTGAACTATTGAAAAACTTTGAGGAAGATCAGACAAGAGGATGATTTAATCAGCTTGATCCAAGAATAAACACGATCTTATTTATTTTTAATCTCTCCACTCCACTCCACTCCACTCCTCCCATCAGAATCTCACTTCTTCCCTTCTCTCTCTCTACAAACATACACATTTCAGAAATTCTATAAACTTCCACCATCTTATGTTCTAAGATTTTTTTTGTTCATTTTTTTTTTAAGTTCATAACTAGATATTGTTCATTCTGCATCGCTTGTAATAATATTTAAAATTTTGTAATAATTCCTATCTACTAATTATTTTATGGGCTTCTATGGATTATTATTATTATTTTTTTTTTGACTAAGCTACCATAGCTGTCATACTAAAAATTCCTGGTTATGTTGGGTCCTGTTATTGTTGGAAGCACGAAGGAAGACTTCAAAGTTTTAGAGGGTGTTTGAGAGTGATTTTTTACCTTAAAAAATTGATTTTTTAACCGTTATTTCACTATTTCAATCGAAATTTTTTACTTTTTCTCTCACAGATGACTCTCACTTTTCTTCTAACGGCCAAAAAATCAATTTTCCAAATTCCTACTGAGTAGGGCGTTGAGATGAAAAAACTCTTCACTCAGTGGAGAAGTTTGATTAAAATAGAGGAAAATGACCTTTTGTATAATCAAATATAGAATTATGGTGAAAATTGTCAAAAACTAGAAGATATAGATATTTTGCACAATAATAATGAAATGTGGAAACTTTATGTACTAATTAAAAAATATGTACACGACAATAATGTGGATCAAATAAGGGCCGTACATTTATCTCAACTTTTTTCAAATTTACTTAAAATTTGATTTTTAGCCAGTCAGGTCTTAGATTTCATTTCGTGGGCGGCCGCGGTCCTTCACTGACTGGCCTAATAGGTTCAAACTGGTACAGCTGTTTTGAAGTCATACCGCTATTTTCATTTCTGAAGTTTTTAACTTATCATTTCATCTTGGAATGGGTGTCATATACTACTAGCATTTATCATCACTCGTTTCCCGTACTCGTAGGGTTCAGCCATTTTGGGAATACCGACGCTGTTCTTTGATATTTATTTTTAATCCAATCAAATAATTTTGCACATAAATTTTAAATTTTTAAAAAAAAAAATCACTATTACAAAAATTAATTTTGTATAAAAATGTGGAGCAAATTGATTTATAAATAGTCGATCTGTATTTTTAATTATGCATTTAAATAATTCACAATATTATCTACTTATTGATCACTTATTTATGTCTATTTATAAATTAAATCGTTTAAAATTTCTTTTTCGAAGTTATTAACAATGATAAAATGATTATAAGTTTTTAGAAATTGGTTCATTCAATGTCATAAATATGATTTTTATGAATAATTTTCTTAAATCAAATATATATCTTAAAATTAGTGGTCTTCAGCCTTTTGTAAATGTGGGACCTATTTTTCATAATTTTTAGATCTATGACATCCACGTTCCCATTAGGAATAGCAGAAAAATCCATAAAATCCAATACATGCAGGACTTGCCCCAAACGAGACGAGGGATTTCAACTCATGGTGGGTACTGGTAACAAGTGCCCCCATCCCGCTCCATTTAATCTTATCATTTTTTTTAGAAAATTTCACGAATTTTTTTTTCTAATAGAAGATGACAATTAAAATTATTTAAGGAATATGACAAGTAACAAGCCTTAGTTTACCAATTATATTTCAATTATTTAACTTTTAAAAATAAATAAATAAATGTTAAAAATTAATAAATATATTATTGTCCCAATGAATGATACAATAAAATAATTATTAAAAACTAAATTATTAGAAAAATAATAAATGGGGTAAGGGTCCCACCCTGCCCTGCCTTAAAAGGGTAACAGGAGGAAAATTAGCTAGGGGCAAGGGAGGTTGTCCCGAACTCGATACGTCCTGCTGTCATTCTTAATTCCCACTAACATAAAAAATTATTTGAATGTGAAATTATCTCATGATGTTTATGTGATGTCAAACATGAGTTAAAACAAATAAAAATATGTTCAATGAACACGAGAAAGATAGTCAGATTTTTAGATTGGACTAGAGTCAAGTTTCATTTGTATTGGATTAAATGAAATCATCTAGATATTTTATCGTTTTACTATGATATAAATGAATATCATGTGTCAATTTAATGATGAAATAAACGTTTTCCAAGAACATGGAAGTCGGAAGTTTAAAAGATCGATGATAGAAATAATAACCCCTGAATTTTGCAAAAGGTTTTTACGTAATCAATGAACTTTAAAAATCACCAAAGTAATCACCAAACTTTAAAAAAAGTTTTCACGGGATCATTGAACTTTAAAAATTACCACATTCATCACCAAACTTTATAAAATGTTTCTTAGGGGTCACTACTTCAGTGATCCCTTAGAAAACTTTTTGCAAAGTTCAGTAGTTTCGTGAAATTTTTTTGCAAAGTTGGTGATGAATTAGATGATTTTTAAAGTTCAGTGATCTCATGAAAACTTTTTGCAAAGTTCGGTATTGATTTGAGTTATTTTTAAAATTTAGTGATCCTTGAAAAGTTTTTATAAAGTTTTCAGTGACCATTTGAGATATTATCTCTCGGTGATACAAGTGAACAAATGATAAGGGCATATTTGAGACTTTATATTTTCATCGATTTTGACCTTTTTTGGCTTGTACCGTTTATGAAAAGGTTGAGAAATTGGTCATTGTAAATTTTTTAGCATTGACTTTGGGTGATTAATGTAAATTTTAACTCTATTGCTTAACCCACTAATTCACTGGGTTTTGATCATTTCTCAAATTCATTTCAATTACATTCTCTATAAAGTAATTATTTTCAATCAGTAAAATTTGTTTAAAAATAACTTGCAAATAAAAGAACAATAATTAAAAAAAAATTATAAGCAAAACAATGTATTTAATAATTAAACTTTTTAATTAAAAGTAAAAAATTATTTATATATAAAAATTACTTTTGTGTAAAAATTGATTATAAAGTAAAAAACTACTAATAAAAGA